CCCGTCCTTGCAAGAGGGCGAGAGGAGGGGCAGGGTCAGAGGACATGGGACATCAGAGGTAGAGCTCGGAGTGACTGGGGACTGTGGGTCGAGGAGCACAGCCTGCGGACGCCAGAAGAGGCAAGGGCACGCGTTTCCCCCTAGGGCACCCAGAAGTGCAACCCCGCGGCCTACTTCAGACCTCTGACCTCCGGAGTCCTGAACCGACAAGCCTATGACAATTTGTTACCGCAGCAAGAGAAAACTCCTGACACTGGAACATGGGCAAAACAGAACGCCTGCTTTTCTCCAAAACACCTTCCGGCCCTGTGCCCAGTTTTCCTGCCTCCATAGATGATACCACCATTCAACCAGATGTGGAGCCCCCAACTCTGGGCAGGATTCCTGATTCCCATCCTGCCCTCTGCACTCACAGCCAACCCACCCGCATTCCCGTCCACCCGCATTCCCGTCTCCACTCGCCCCTCCCGTGGACCGTGGACCGCAGCAATAGCCTGCCTCCTCCCTGACCCCTGCAGACCCCCTGCAGGAGGGACTTTTAAAAGGTATCATGTGATGTTGTTCCCCCAGCAAATCCCTGGAGCCCCCTCAGTCCACAAAGCTCCGTGTTTTCCCCACTTCCCTGCCATCGTGCCGCTCCCACTTCGCCCGCTCCACTCTGCTCAGGCCACACTGGCCACCTTCCAGTTCCTTCAGGGCCTCAGGGCCTTTGCTCCCTGGGTCTGGGGGCTCTTCTGCTAATTTCCCACTGGTGTGTGTACTGCAGCAAAGCCCAGAGGACCGGCCGGCCTGTTGCCCCACCTGGGATGGTTGCCTGGCCCTCTCACGCTAGCCGGTTACCGTCCTCTCCAGCACAAGCAGTGCTTACTGTCTGTCTGTCTGCCACATGCAGAGCGTCTGCCCCGTGAGGTGGGACCCGGCTCTGCTGGGCACAAATGCAGTACAGCATCCCAAACATACCCTGGCACACCATGGGGCTGGATAAATGTGTGTGGAGTAAATGATTGGAAAGCACAGGCTTTGAGCCCATGCCAGGTGAGGAATACATCTTGGAGGCTCTGGGTGCTGTGACCGGCTGGGAGCCTTCAGGGGGCTGGGGCTGGATGTCTTTCACAGAGCTGGGAAGATTTCTGAGGAAGATGGAGATAGCTTGCTTCACAGCCCTGGCTTCCAGAACCATGACTGATGGACAAAAGCTTTGAGGAGAAAATGTCAGCACATCAGAAAGACCTCATAAATGTCAGCGTGGCCCCAGGGTGGCATGAGCAGCCACAAGAGGGGGTGAGGGCCCCATCCCTGAAGGCCTCCGGGCAGAGGCTGATCACCTGGAACAGCCTAGAACGGAAGGCCCTGGGGTTAAGCCTGGCCCAGAGTAGCTGCTCCTTTAAAATTTTCTGAGTGAATGAATGAATGAATACTTGGATGAATGTCCCTGATTTTAGGCACTTGATGAGTAATTGGACTGAGCTGCATATAAAAAGTCCCTCCCCACCATAGAGGTCACTGAGACTTGCCCAGTGGTTTTCAACCATATCAGCAAAGATTCCAAAATGAGATCTTCTTACCCCGAGCCCAAGAGCCCCTGGGAGGAATGGGGAGGAAAGAGAGAAGCTGGACACCAGGGAGGCGCCGCCTTTTTTGACATCTGTCCGTCGGGTCTGGCACTCTGGTCCTGCCCCGCCTCTGAGCCTCTGAAACCTCCTCTGGAACATGGGGACCATAAGCCCAGATGGGCTAATCCCAGGGTCATGACAGCCGAGGCTGGCCAAACTAGCTGTCTGTGTCAGGACCCCCCAAGCCTCCCAGGGCTCCCCATGCCCAGACATGGCCACCTCCAGCCCCAGCTTCCTTCTCATGATGTCCCTGAGGGGAAGGGGAGATTGAAGAAGCTGCATATGAGCCTAAACATGAAACACAATCAACTCCAGAAGTGAGGCTAGGTCAGAGATGAGTAGGAGCAGAAGCAGAAACTTACAGGAAACGCTGTCCTTCTCCCAGCACTGACTGCTCTCGAACTGAGTAATGTCCCCCTCATGTCCCTCTGGGCTTTCCTGCTGCCCCAGTCTCTTTCTGAGGCCTTACAACCAGCCCACACCTCCTCCCCCTTCTCATCAGGATTCCCCCTCTCCTGGTCCCCTCATCTCGGGGTACAAGGTGGAATTCTGCCTCCATGCAGGACTTGAGAAAATCCTGCCCTGGAAGAGCCCCCTTTCCAAAATAAAACCAGAATGTCTCTTCTACCGTCCTGCCAGTAACTAAAAGTCTGCCTTTAGCGCTCTGCTCTATGGGGTCACCTGGGAAGCTTTGGAAACTCAGAGGGTGGAGAGACGCACACAGTTTCTCTATCACGCAGCAAAGATCCTTCCATAACGAGCAGGTGCCCTGACTCAGAGAAGAGGTCTACATCCGGCAGGAGGAGGAGGGAGCCGGAACTGGCGGTACGGATGGGGAGGGAGGCTGGCAGTCTTAAGAGTTGGCCTAGAGGGTGGGCACTGGGGGGCTCTAAGACTGCACAACTCATGGAAAGGCCTTGGGCCTCCTGCAGGGCTACCTCCACCCCTGGTGCCGGGATGCAAAGGGTGGAAGGCCTGGGGAGGACTTAGGACAATGAACCCTCTCTCAGGATTCACACTGCGGTTATCCTGGGTCTCATTACAGAAACCACTCCCAGGGAGACTGCGGTATGAGGCCTCAGAGGCCAAATCTCTTTCTCAGAATGTAACACACAGCAAGAAAGCATTCTTTTTGCCTCAGGTCACTGACCACAAAATGCTGGAGTCTCGTCAGATAGTAATGAAAAGAGGATTTAAAATGTAAGCCCTGATTTGGGTTTTGTGTGTGTGTTTTTTTTTAAATAATGAACTTCCCATATCTTTATTGGGACAACAGAGATGGAAAAAGGCTTGAAGGGTTCATCAGAGAGACTATGGAGCTGGGCAGGCAGCTCCCCCACCCAACAGATGCCCCAATTCCTGCCAAGAAATGACCCCATGTCTGAGACCACAAGAGAGATGGTAGAGCCTCTCCGGCTCTCTAGTAGGCGGGAAATGCAAATTAAGACAACAAGGATATGGCCCTTTTCACGGTCACATTGACAAAAATAAAAACTTTGATAAGATCAAAAGTCGGTTAGGATGTGGGGAAGACACTACTCCCCTGCACCACTGGTGGGAGGGTAAATTGTCCAGCCGCCCTGGAAGGCAATCTGGTGGCATCTCTTAATTTGCCTCCTCCACGTTCTAATCACCCATCCATCTGAGACATAAATAAATCAGTTATGGAGCCCCCATTCAGGATATAGCATAAAAGACAAGTGGGGGGCCTGTAAGTATCAACATGCAAAGCTCTCCAAGACATTTTGCAGACATAGTAGAAACCGAATGGAAAGCTGCATGCTACATATAGTATAGTATATGGAAGACCCCATACCTTTCTGTAAAACTGACATAGAGATGGACATGCATGTATAAAGGTCTGCAAAGGAAACCCCAAAGCAACTATGGCACTTATATATGAGATGTCCAAAAATTTAGCTTTATCTGCAGATTTTCAGTTTTTTGCATTGCCGATAGATTCATGGACTAGATTCATAGAATCATTGTGGAATGATTCATGGATTCATGCATGGATTCATAATTAAATACATATTTTTTTAATTTAAGGAGGGGCTTCACTCTGTAGGAGGGAAGCACATGAACTCAAGCCACCAAACACAAGCAAAGCCCCCTAAGTCCCTCTCCTTCCTCTCACCTCCCCAAGACCTTGGAACCCCAAACTCTCACCTTCCCCCAGGTCATCAGCAGAGGGCTGGGAGGGGCTTCTCCAGCCAGGGTCCCTGTCCTTGACACTGTCAGCTGCCTCCTGGTGTGGTGGGGGCCTCACATCATCCCTTTAGAAATGGAAGGGGGCATCAGCTTGTCCCCTTTTCCACCTATACTCTCCCTGCCTGAAGCCCATCTACCTCCCTCTTCGCCCACCCTAAGGTTTGGATGACTAGGACTAACGCCACAGTGCCCCCACCCCATTCCTGTAGGGTTAAGGGGAGTGGACCCTCTCCCTTCTCCTAGCTGACCGCTATTGTTTCCTTCCTGCCTTTGCCCTGGCCACCAATATTCAGCAGGTGCTCACCAATGCCTACCATGTTCTATGCAGGGTCCACGGTACTGTGGGCAGCCATGGGCCTCTTGCCATTGGCAGACCTGTGCTCAGCACTTACACAGAAACCATGTCCAATGAATCTGAATTTCCCCCATCCTGCCCCTAGCTCAGTCCTGGCCACTGGTAAGTGCTCAGATTCCCTAAGGCAGCGCCCAGATTTAGTTCTGCAGCTCCCTGCAGACTTCATTCTTCCTTTTCCCAGGGGCGGACACCATGTGCTCAGGGGCACCAAATCCACGTGTTGGTTGACTGGGCAGGGCTGGGGGAAGCTGATCCGGCTGCTGGAGCACCCTCATGCCCAAGCCTCCCTCCCTCACTTAGACCCTCCGCCCGCCCGAGGCCGGCTTAGGGACCAGGGCGAGTGGCAGGGCAAGCTTGAAAACCAACCTCTTCTAGCCGAGGGAGGCCCATGGCCTGGGACGCTGGGCAAGCGAACAACAGGGAGAACACGCAGAGAGCGGGCATTCACCAAAGGAGGCCGCACCTGGCTGTCCGCAGCCGCCCAGGGCTCACCTGATCTGCCCAGGTGCCCACCCAGAGCCTACCTCCCAAAGGCAGGCCCCTCACTCTGTCAATGTTGAATGAATGAATAAGCCCAGCACTCTACAAAGGCAGGGGGGAGGCATCCCCTTCAGCCAGTCAGCTTCCTCCCCCCTGTGAATGTTGTCTGTTCCCGTCCCGCTGGGCACCGGTGCCTCTCACCCCGGCTGAGCGGAACGAGATGAGTCTCCGTTCTCCCCGTGCCACCTGCTCCTGACACGGTCCGGAGCTCAGGGCAGCGGTGGGAAGCGGGGTGGGTCAGGATCTCTGGCGCCTCCCCGGGGTTCCTGGCATCCCCTTACCTGCGGGAAGGCTCGGAGCGCTCCGAGGAGGGACAGTCCCAGCACAGCGCGGAGGGCGCGCATCCCGGCGGGGCGCAGGGCTGGGCTCACTGCCCGCGCCCACCGCCCGCGCCCACCGAGGCAGCCTGGGAAGCGCGAGGCGCCCACGTGCGGTGCCAGCGGCCCAGGCCGCGCGTGGGTAGACCTCGGGCACCGGCAGACGTGGCAGAATGTCCCGCGCGCACCTCGCTGGCACCCAACCGCACGCCGTGAAGTCACTTCAAAAGTGACTGCTCCTTCCCCGAGGGCTCAGCCTTAACTCTGCCCTTCCCCCACCGTCTCACCGCGCCTCGGGTACCCAGAACTGTTTCCAGGAACGCGACTGCCAGAGGGGACAAACACGTGCAGAGATGACTCAGGACAAGCCTCACTCCCCTTTTGCTGTTCGAATGGCCCGTCCCAGATTTGACAGACGGGTGGTTCCCAGCTCCATCGAGTTTTCTGCAGGACCCAGCTGGGCTGAGGGGCGGGGAAGGCAGCTCTCACCCGTGGAGGCAGGGGACTCACAGAGGGCAGGTTGGCTCCGGCCAGTCCCAACCGTCCCACCCCAGCCCTGCTGCAGGGAAGGGTGAGACCTGCTCCTGACACTCAGATCACCCAGACCTTCCCTCCAGCCCAGGAGAGTTGATTCTTTGGATGGGACAGCTGGAGTCAGGACACTGCAGAGAAAGCCACCACCAACCAGTCACCCGGATTCGTGAATATTTGCTGTAAAATAAGTCAGTGGGTGGGTAGATGGGTGAGTGGATAGGTGGATGGGTGGATATGTGGACAGAAGGATGGATGGATGGATGGATGGATGGATGGATGGATGGATGGATGGATGGATGGATGGGGTAGATGGTTGGATGGATGGATGGATGGATGGATGGATGGGGTAGATGGTTGGATGGATGGATGGGTAGGTGGATGAGTGGGTGAACAGGCAAGTGGCAGATGGGTGAATAGGTGGATGGATTAACTTTGGGGGGACTTATAGACAGAAGTATGGAGCATTTGGTTGTCAGTCCACAGGCATTTCCCTGCCGCCTGCGAGTGTTCTGCCTAGAGAAGGAGCCTAGCACTATTACCTGAAAGAAAGAAACTATACAAGCCTCATTGGAATCCAGTTCTCATTTGCAGAGGGATGATTTTCCCTTCCAGTGCTTCTGCTTCCTGTGCGTTGTCTGCTCCTTTCATTCTACATGCCACACATATTTACTGAGCATGCACTGGGTAGGCTGCTGATCAAGGGTTTGTTTGCATGTCTTATATTTGCTTTTTTCCAGACTGGGAAACAGGCAGCCAGTCCGACGTGCTCTGAGTAAAGATGACCAGTTGTCTTCTGTGAGCCAAGAACGGCTGCAGGACCCAGCTGGGCTGAGGGGCAGGGAAGGCAGCCTCTCAGGATTCTAAACCTCGGTCTGTCCTGCAAGGTGCAATGCCCCCATCTTCCAGAAATGCCTCCATCTCCTTGGCCCACCAGCAGTAGTCTCCCACCAGGACCCTCCCAACAAACTCTCCACAACTGGCCACCCCAAGCTCAACCCCCCTGGAGCTCCTGGATTGCACTTGGAAAAACTACTTTTATTGTGCACCCTCCCTGGACACCCACTTCCGGGCTCCCACGCCAGGCCCAGCAGCCTGAGATGTCTGAGCTGGAACTATGTTAAACAAGTAGGTGACTGCAGAAGTGAGCGCCCATAACAGTCACAGAACCAGGGACAGGAGCAATCCAGGACCCCTGCTTGCCAGTCCAGAGCTTTCCTATAGACAAGCTGGTGCTCTGAATAAACACACTTGCACATTCAAACAACAGCAAAATAGCAGACATGAGAGGAAATACAAATGCACTAATCACAAGTTCTAGAAGTTCCACCTTTCTAACAATTGAAGAGATGCAAATGAACGCAACCTTTGATAACTTCCTAGACTTTTTAAACCCTAGTAAACACCCCTAGTAAAATCCAACCCCAAAGTTGTGGTGGTGAAACCAGAATACACATTCATACTCTGCCGGTAACCGTTACAACACCTTTCAAAAAACAATGGTAATTTTTAGCAAAAGCCCCCCACAAAAAATGTTTACAACTTCTGGCTCAGTAATTTCACCATAGTAAAGAAAAATGAAGGAAGTAGTTCAACTGGAAAAGGAAAACTGTAAACACAATAATGTGTCCTAAAACATGTATAAATTTTGGAAATACCCTAAGAAGCACACCAACAGGGAATGGTTACGTAAGTAAATTGTGGTGCATTCATTTAGTGGAACACTATGCATCCATGACAAATGATCATTATAGCAAGGCTGTGGAAATCTCCCTCCTGTCCTTCCCCTTCACGGGCTTCTAAAGTGGCCCTTCATCAGACCTCCTCTGCACAGAACCCTTGCAGAAGTGCAGTAGAGGAGGGATCCTCATCACCTGAAAAATTATATTACATACCTAATCTCAATAAAAAGAGCTGCCTTTGAGTGCTTACTTCACACTAAGAGTTTGCAGACATTAGTTCCTTGAATCCTCAGGGAAACCCCATGAAGAAGTCCCTGTTTTTATCCCCATTCTGCAGGTGACAAACCGAGGTGCAGAGCCGTGGATCCGCCAGACCAGGGTTCCTTGAAGCCAGTGATACTCTCGGCCCTTCCCAACCTGCTTGGTCCTGCTTTCCCAGCTTCCTCTGCAGCTTCTCCCTCTTACCTCGGCTCCAGCCACACACGTGCTTCTCTCGGCCCTCCACGCCTGTACTCACACTTCTCCTCCACCTGGAACACACCTCAAAGTCCTGCTTATCTCTGGGCCCTGCTCCAATGCCCCTTCTTCTTTGTTGCTTTCCTGGCACTGCCCCCTCCCCTCCCCAAGCCATCTTCCCAGTTACAAAGACAATTTCTGTCATTTTCTGCACCTCAGTTCTAGAATTGATCTCACTGTGTCATGAGTGTAATGACTGGTTTGTGTCCATCTATCCCAGGAAATGGTGGGGTCCTCGAGAGCCTGAGAGTGCCAGGCACATGGCTGCGAGCTGATGCCTGGCCAGCCCAGAGGAGGGCGCATTTTGCAGCCAGGGAAGGGGCTGGATCCCAGAGGGGTTCAGTTCTACTGTAGAAATGGCAGCAGCCTAGGGAAATGGCAGCTCGTGGGACTATAAGAGCGTGCACTGGATAGAGCTGACCTGGCCGCCTCTGTTGGTTTTAGATGGCTCGTGAACCCCCGAGCGTGTGTGAAAGTGCTTTGAAGAGCTGGAGGGGAAATCCCTCTGCCCTGCGAGGCTCGGCAACGGGCCCTACTGTGGAATTGCAGGGGGCCTAAGGCCCCACCTGCTGCCACCACAGCAAACTTGTAGAAGCCAAGCCCCCAGGCCTGCAGGAGACAGGAAGGTGAGCAGCACCTGCCCACACCATCTCATCTCCGAGGAAGGGGGCGGAAGGTGGGTGCATCAGGAAGCCCTCCAAAGGGGAGCCAGGAACCTGTGTCACCAAAAGGATGCTGAGCAAGACACAGGTTCCGACTTGGCTCAGGAAATGCAGGGACTTCCCCAACAGCTGGGAACCCCAGCTCCAAATGGCCCCAAAATACCCTCAGCAGATAAAAGGATTCTTTCTGCTATAGGCAGCAGCTGGCAGGTAGGAGACTGAAAACTGGAGGGGGAAAGCCTGGACCCTTTCTGCTCTGGGACAGGTACTTTTTTGAGCACCTTTCTGGGGAACCTTGATGGAATTAGGACTCTCCAGTGAGCTCTTCTCTGGTGGGTCCTATGTGCCAAGCTGCCTACAAGTCACATCCCAGAGGTCTCACCCTCGTGAGGCCCAGGACACTCGCTGGGCCCTGAACACTCGCGCTGGCCTCTCAGAGAGTATGCAAAGTGGCCACGGAGGGCTGAGGGAGAGGGGTTCCCTCCGGTGAGTTTGGAGGGGACAAACACTAGGTGCGTCCTGCTGCCTGGGTGAACCCCAGAAATGCACACCCACAAACAGAACACCCAGGTCCTTGGCCACACAGTTAATCCTGGCAACAAGATTTCAAGTCAGTATTGCTTTGCCCACTCCATAGATGAACAAATTGAAGCGCAGAGTAGTTAAGTAACTTGCTTGAAGTCACAGAGCTTGTGGGTGACAGAGCTGGGATTTGGCTCCAGTTGTGTCTGACTTCCAAGCCTCAGCTACCTTCTCTTTCCTCCCTCAGCCCCCGCCACCCTTGTCTTCCCCAGAAGAAACCACTGGTGTAGGAGTCCCAGCCCGGCCACGTGACTGCAGACAAGTCATCTTTTCTCCCAGTGTATTAGTTACCTACTGTGTGCCTCAAAACGTAGCGGCTCGAAACAACAATACACATTCTATCTTGCTGTTGCTGTGGGTCAGCAATTCGGGAGAGACCTGACAGGCAGATTCTGGCTCAGGATCTCCCATGAGGTTGCAGGCAAGATGTCAGCTAGGGCTGCAGGCATCTGCAGACTCCCTGGGGCTGGAGGACCTGCTTCCCAAATGAGCCGCTCACACGACTGTGGACAGGAGTCACGGACCACGCGGGGCTGACCGAGTGTCCTCCTCCGGAGCAGGCTGCCCGAGAAAGCAAGGCAGGAACCACACTTGCTTCTGTGACCCAGTGCAGAGGGCACACTTCATCACATCCACGGCATTTTATTGGTGACGCAGGCTGGCTCTCCCCGACGTAGGCAGGGGACCATGCAGGTACATGAATAACAGAAGAAGGAAGGGGATTGCCAGGGGCTTGCTTCCTTCTCTGCCAATGTGCTTTTACCACTGCGAGGCAGCCTTCCGAAGGTTGCAGTGAAAAAACAGCAGTCATAGAAAGCCCTTTGGAATGCAAGGGGAGAAGTAAAAAGGACTTTGCTGCCCTTTGCTCCACTCCCACTGGGTGCCCATGCCCCTGCTATGGCCCCAGACCTCTCCATCCAGGACCACAGCTGAAATGCTCACGGCCTGGTGTTCCCCTTCCCAAAGGATGAGTTTATCACGGTATTCACCGTTCTGGCCAAGAGTGACTCATGCAAGGGTCTTGGGCACCACGGCAGGTCCACAGTGAGAACCACGGGCGTCAGGAGTCTGCCTGGCCTCTCAGGTGAGCAAGGTGTGCCTCAGCAAGGCCAGGCTGCTGGGCACCCAGCCTCTGTGCGGACGCATCCCCAGGCCTCTGGCACCCAGGGCTGGGCTCTAGCTTGACAGGTGGCAGCCCTAGATGCAAGAAAACTGGACTCGGAGCCTGGGTTCAAGCCCATATCTGCATCTAG